TGAGATTCTCAGGTCACCCTAGGGATCCAGGGGTTCTTCCAGGGGGTTTTGTGGCTGAGCTCCCCAGCTGGCTCAGCTGTGCTCTCCAGCCTGGATGTGGCTGAGCGATTTCCACACCCAGTGCTGAAAACACAGATTTGACTTTCCTGGTGGAGTGATGACTCTGTTCTTTCTGCACAGAGTCAGCAGCACCAACCAGGGATTTGCTGTGTCCACAGAGACCTCTGTTTAAACCTGTCCTTATTGTTTAGTGCATTAGTCCCTCACCCACAGCCCTTGCCCCTCCACACAAACACCATTTGTGAGCATTTCTGCTCCTGCTCTGGGAGGATGGCTCTGCACAATCCCAATTATGGTCAGTGAGATTTAAAAAAAAAAGCCAAATTAATCACTTCTGCAGGCTGAATCACCACCTTGAGGTGCTTCTCTACAGGAGAAAACACAAAGAAACCTAGCCAGTAAAAAATCAACAGTCATGGGAAGCAAGAGGATAAAAAACACTGGAAGAGCAAGATGGGGCTAGGGCTGCAGGTCCCCAGCCCTGCTAACTCAGTACACTGGGCCATACATTCAATATAGAAGGCATGACACAGAGACAAAACAAATTTTGGGAAACTGAAAAGATCATTTTAGAAGGAACAGAGACTCAATTTCCAGTAAAGAAAATATGAAGGCTATAAAACCACATTTTTCATGGCTGTTTTCTATACCAAAACAGAAACAGTGAGATTTTTAAAACCAAACTTCTTGCACAGCAGATTGAAGTTTTGATTTTTGACCAAGCCAGAAGCAGAGGACAGTGCAGGCCAGGGTTCCCCTGTGCTGAACTCCTGCTGCTGCCAACCCTGACCTGGAGCTGCCCGGACTGAGTGCCCAACCTCAGGGGCCAGCAACCAAAGGCAAGCACAGGCCAGACCTGTGCTCTTGGCTTTCCTGGAAGTTACCAAGACCATGGGAAATGGAAAGGTAGAAATTTCCAGAGACACAGGAGGGTTTGATCTGCAGCCTTGGAATAAGCTTGGATTGATGTAAAAATAAAATGCACAGATATTAAGCAGAAAAATCTTAAACTTATGTTTCTATAGTTGTAAGTAAGAATATGCCTCAAGTAAGTAAAAAATTGTATTAATAAGATGTGGAGGGTTTATAATGTAGGGGTGTAACTGTATAGAGTAGCTAAGAGTTTAGATGTTATAATAAAAGCAAATGTGTTCATGTGTGATAACAGCCCATTGGGTAACAGCATCCACAGTGCAGTAGAAGTGAGTAAAAGTGATAGGTTAGAAATGCAAAATAAACCTTGTGGTCCGTTGGATCAGACAGTTCTATATTGTCTTGTAATGAAGAACTTGTGACCACTTTGAGCTATGGCTGACTGCTTGCTCCTCTAAACTCTGACAGCCTCTGAGACTGATGTTTATCTGAGCAGTAAATCGTTCTCAGCCCCAGAATAGTCCCATCCCCTTAATTAATGCAGTGACAATGATAAAGACAAAATTAAACTAAAAACCCACAGCACCATTCACCAGCATCACTTTTACAGAGCTCTTTGCTTTGCCCTCCTGCAGAGGGTGATCTGATGCCAGCCCACAGCACATGGTGTAGCCAAGGCACCATCTGCTGATGGGCTGCAGCAACATTTCGAGGTTGATGGGTTTGATTTAGTTTTGCAGAAGTTTTCTGCATGTGTGCCAGATATGAATATCTCAGGTTTCCTTGACTGACCAGGGGAGCCTTGTAGTTGAAAGCAAAAAATGCTTCAAGGACAGCTACAGAAGTGGGGGGGATATTCAAAATTTCTGGACTCATAGGATGAAAATAATAATATCCTGCTGCTGGCAAGGAAATTGAAACCTTTCCTTGCTTACCCATGAAGCCATTCCCTGGAAATGCAGTCTGGAAACTGCAAGCTTTTCTCTTTTTCTTAGGGAAGGATAAAACAATTCAGAAGTGAAGTGTGTGATACCTGGTGGAGCTCCCTGAGCAGGGAGCAGTGCCCAGGTGACACAGGCAGCAGCAGTCCCCCAGGGGCTCTGAGCCGAAGCAGTGGCCCAGAGCAGCTGTTCCTCCCCCTGCAGCAGGGTTTGCAGATGTGGAGAGCATTGCACAGCTCCCTGGGACCCAGCCCTGTGGTGTTTGTGATGGTCCCAGGAGGAGGGAAGAGATGAATCTGACTCCATGTTCTCAGGAGGCTGATTATATTTATATTATATTATATTATATTATATTATATTATATTATATTACATTACATTTTGCTATACTAAAACTATACTAAAGAAAAAGGATACATCAGAAGGCTTAACAAGAATGAATAATAAAAACCTGTGACTGACTCCTCAGAGTCCAACACAGCTGATGGTGATTGGTCATTATGTTAAAACAATTTACATGGAACCAATCAAACAATCACCTACCACATTCCAAAGCAGCAAAACACAAGGAGAAGCAATCAGATAATTTTTATTTACATTCTTTTCTGAGGCTTCTCAGCTTCCCAGCAGAAGAAATCCTGGCAAAGGGATTTTTCAGAAAATATCACAGCCCAGCCCTGCTCAGGTTTATTAAAGGGAATTCTCTCCAGAGCCCTCCTCCCATGGCCAGCCTCACAGCAGCCTGACTTCCACCTAGAAGACATCAGTAAAACATTTGTCCTCTCTGACCTTATCTGAAGGAAGATGTGGCTTGGTTTCCTTTTCTGGAATTGATGGAAGTCGATAGAACCAAAGGGAGCTTTTGGTTTTCCTTGAGGTGCTCCACAGGCAAGCCACCACCCACCACCTGCCCTGGTGTGTCCTGGCACGGGGGTGGGCAGGAGGGCCTCGGGAAGGGACAAAGAGCTGGGATTTGTGTGGGGATGCAGCCGGTGCTGATCCTTCCAGTGCCTCTCGTCAGGAGCCTCAAACTCCAACACTCAGGATGCAAAATGCAGCCCCTCTCTGGCCTCCAGCCTTGCCTCCACCCCAGTCCAGCTGTCTGGGCTTCATCACACAGCCTGAGTGAGGTTTTATACCAAGGTGTGGCAGATTCTCAAAAAATCCACAGCCCGGGAGTGTGCAAAATTCTTATCAACAATGGAAGAAGGTAAATGTGAGCTCCTGTCTGAGATGGCTGTGAATAAATCTGAGCTACTGATGCCTGTGGGTGGCTCTGAGTGAAATATTCACTCCTTGCTAATGGAAATATTTTGATTAACAACTTTATTTGCCTAGTGGCAAATATCATTTTTTTCCTTTTAAATCACAGACAAGTGTCATAAAAGATTTCATTTGCACATTAACAAGATATTTATAAAGTACTTGGCATTTGAGTTCCCTCAGCAGGCAATTACAGATATGTTCTATTTTTTGAACAGTTTTGGTTAGGTTTTTAATTAGTCTCAAGGTGACTTCCAACACTCAAATACATCCCCACGGATTCCCCATAAAACTGCTTGTAATAATCAGCTCCTTGTGCTTCCTGCAGCACTCCTCGGTGCAGGCATGACACAGCAGCCACTGAAAGGTCTGGTTTTCAAAACACACTGACAGCAGACCAGCAGAGGCACAGGCAGCAGTGTTTAATGCACTGGGATTTATTCTCAGGTTTTGTGAGCCCAGCATCCAGAGGAGGAGCCTGTTGTAAACCACTTTCATTCAAGTGCTGCCTTTTGCCACAGGTCCAGGGACAGAAATCCTCTCAGCCCCCGTCATCCACTGCCCCAGGGCCTGTGGGTACAGGCACATCTCCTCCTGGCTGGGGCATCTCTCCTGGCAGCACTGGGCCAGGGGCTGTGGGCTCGGGGAGCTGCTGCCCCGGGGTCACACCAGGGCACATTGCCCTCCTTGCCTCCTGCCCAGGACGCTCCTGTTGGAATCTGGGCTTTGCAGAAAGCTGGAGGAGGCTGCTGTAGATGCAGAGCACTTTTGCTGGTCCTGCTGATGCCTTGGGATTTTAGCTTTTTTATTTTCCATGTATTTGTAATCCTGCAGTTCTTTAGTGTGTAAATCTAAACTCCACACACACTGTGAGCTGCTGCTTTCCCATTTCAATCAGACACAACAATTCCTCTCCAGGCCTGGCAATCAAGAACTGCCTCAGGCCCCAGAGATGTAAAACAAAAGTGAGTTGGGGGGAGCAAACTTGGGCTAAATGCCTTCATTACCTGAAGCTGTAACTGGAAGATTAACCCCCAATATGCAAATGGACCAAACTTATAAAAGTCTGAAACCCCATGATCCATCCTCCATTTTGGGTGTAGCTCCTGGGGGCCTTTGTCTGCCCTGAAGGCCCTTCAATAAATAGAACTGCTTTTTATTCCTTTAATTCTGTCTGGCCTCTGTTTTTAGGTAGCCCCAAAAGGCATCACTCTCCCAGCAGTCAGGGACACACTCAGCACTCACCAGCCCAGCCCTGCCCAGCTCCTCTGCAGCCAGAACTGCCCAGTGACACTGCCAGCCCTGCCCTTAGTGCAGCCACCCCAGGAGCTCCCAGGGGTGGGAAACACTAAAGGTAAGAAGAGTTTCAGAAAGTTGGGAAAGAAAACCTTAGAAAGAGCAGAGAACCATAGAATCAGCTGCAAAGTCCGGAGGTAGAAGAAGTTACAATAGTACAGCAAGCAAAGACATGAAACAATAGCTTGAGTCTTAGGCTTGGCTGCAGGAAAATGTGCTTAGCAAGATAGTAGAAGGTTGAAACTTAATGGTGAAGTATTGTGCATTTTTAATAGAAAGAAGACAAGCAAGCACTGTGTGAAGCAGGTGTACATGTGCTTTTAGTGATTATCTAAAACAACTGTCTGTAAGCTTTAGCAACGTGCTATTGGCTAAAAAGCTTTTAAGATGCTCTGTAACAAAGAAATCCTTGGCTGCTGCGGGCTGTACCTGAGCTTTGCCATCTTCCCATTGCCTCAACCACGTCACGGGGCTGATGCTGCAGTAAAGCTCAGGGAAGGCAGCCCAGCAGTCCTGTTTGTGAGATAACCAACCAACACACCAGTTCATCTCTGTCCTGTGTCCCCAGGTGAGCAGCATGGCCCGGGGGGGCCGGCGCCGCGAGCAGCGCATCCTGCGGATGGTGCTGCTGATGGTGCTGTGCTTCCTGCTCTGCTGGCTGCCCTACGCTGCCGTGGCACTGCTGGCCACCTTTGGGCAGCCCGGGCTCGTCACCCCTGCCGCCAGCATCATCCCAGCCATCCTTGCCAAGAGCAGCGCTGTCTACAACCCCATCATCTACGTGTTTCTGAACAAACAGGTCAGTGAAATGCCCTCCTTCGGCCATCTGGATTCCGTCTGTGCAAGGAGTGACAAAACGGCAAAGGGAGATAGAGAGAGCATCAGTGGCATCACCCAGATCCATGAGAGGGAAGCTCTGAAAAAGGGCTCCAAGGAGCAAACCTGTTCCACAAATCTGCATTTTGGCAGTTGGACAACCAGCTCCCCACATGTGCAAATAGCAAATGATAGGTCCTTCCTTTCCATTGCACAGTTCAACAATAAGAGAAGAAATCCGTGTGCTGGCAAGAGTGGAAGCACCAGAAATTGTCTGAGGTGACTCAGATACGTCAAGTGTTGTGAGGATGTGAGCCCCAGCACAGCACATTGCCCACAGCAACTCCTCCTCCTCACAACACCAGCTCTCTGATTTACTCCCTGATTTACTCTTTTAACCCCCTCATAACCTCAGATCCTTCAGTCACTCTTTGGTCCTGCTCCCCGCTCCTAGGAGCTGGTGAGGATCTGCCAGAAGGCAGTGCCAGAGGAGCTGCAGCAGGGGAAGCACACAGCTGGGGTAGCCCCTGGCACACGGACTGACAATAAAAGTGAAGATGAGCAGAGATCTACAGAGAAAAACAGAGAGCATCAGAGCTCCTCCAGTCCCTCCGCCAGGTCCAGCTCCACCAGCCCATGTGCTCAGGCACATTCCATTGAGCTTTGCATTGCTGGCATTACAGCAGGTGGATCACTTGCTTCTGACCCCAGAAAATCCTCCACTTGAAATGATTTTTGGAAGCTGTTAGGAAGCAGAGATAGTAAATTGCTCACTCTCTCTTGGAAACAAATGATGGTGGTAAAGATTGATTTAAGTCTGGCTTAAATTAGCTGTGGGTGTTTTTACTGGGACATGAGAAATTGCCAGGGAGTGAAAGTTCCCATGACACCATCCATCATCTCCTCACCATCCATCAGCTCCACTCAGTGCCACAAACAGCCCAGGGGGTGCAGTCCCTTCTCTGCAGAATTCCCTGACATTTTCCCTGGGATAGGAGCCCTTCTTTCCCTTCTCCTCTATAATTTAGCTTTTGAATAAACTCTCTGATGAAACCTCCTGAGCTGTTGCCATCCCCCAGTAGGGAAAAGCCCAACACACAAAGGGTAACTCTGCCTCACTCCAAACACATCCAGCCCTGGCTGCATCCAGAGAGGCAGTTCAGAAATCCCAGACTGACCTGAATGTGTGCATGGCTGCAAAGAGCACTCCAAAACAACACAGACTGCAGAGAAGTTTTCTACAGACAATTCTAAATTAATCTTTTTACTAAATAGCTTGCTGACACAAAGAGCAGCTAGACATAAATTAAACTGGGTTTATCCATGTCAGGCTCCTGAAGTTCACCATAAAATTTTACTCCTAGTGCTCCATACACACTTAATTTTGTTTGTGGAGGGTTTTTTGTGGTGTTTTTAAATTTTTTTTCTTAAATTTCACTTGGTTTGCATTGCTCAGTTGGCATTTTAGCAGCAATCAGTGCTCAGGGTTCTATACTCAGTGCAGAATGAGGAGTCAGTAGTCTGGGTTTCTCTGCACTCAGGAGAGAACCTCAGGCTAGAAGATGCTGCAGCCACCCAGAAGTGCCAGGCATGTGAAAGCAGGAGGTGTTGGTCACCCAGAAAACCACCTTCAACACCAACAGCATTCCTGAGGCTGTGGAAATCTGTAGCAGATGCCTTGACAGCTCACACAGCTGACACTGCCCTCTAATTCTGGGCTATTCCTAAAACAATTCTGTGTCCAGACTCCCCCCCTGCTCTGGTAAATGCTCAGAAATCTCTAATCAGGCTGGATAAAATCTGAGAACAAGCCAGATAAAATAACATTCACATGCAGAAAATGCATCCAGGCAAGGACCAGGTGAAGTTAAACAGATTGAGGAGACTCTCCAGTGTAACAGGAATTCCCTGGGGATTGGACAGCTGCAGAAAGGTACCCGGGAAGAGCCATGGGAGCTTGACCATGAGGGGAGGGGGCAAAGCAAAAACTAGAAAATAGACAGTATTGCCCACGAGTTTTGAAGCTGCTTAATTTTTCAATGCTCAGTGGTGAGAGGCTGATGAAATATTTATGATTATTACAAAGTAAGTTTTTAATCCTGAGAAAATGCAGTTTTTCATTGAGAAAAAGGAACCTCAGCTAATGCAAAAATTGTGTAAAACTTAAAAAAAGCCACTTTCCCCAGCAAGCAAGGCTGCTGATGAAAAACCAGCATGAAAAACCAGAATTTTTCACTTGGCTGTTGATAACAAGAGTTGTCAGAGCTTGTTGCTAGCAGCTGTGTTGTACAAAGAATTACCAGTAATGTTGTTCTGGACTCTTGAGTGTAGAGATCAGTTACCAGCCTTTGACCCTGCAGCCTTAGGGAGGCCATGCACACAATCCACACCACCTAAAATACCTATTTTTTCAACTACAGGCAGTTTCCTTGTCTTCATGCTTTGCACATTCCCTCTGCTCTCAGATACACAGAATGTTCTGGCATGCAACTGAAAAAATTCCTCCAGTTATGGATATTGAACCAACCCCTCCTGAGAGCTTAAACCAAGTCCTCATCTTTTCCCTGGTCAAACCCAAACCAAAGCAGCCAGCATCAGTTTCATTGGTAATTCAGTTAGCTCAATCCATTCCACACTTTGAGCAAGGGGATGTATCCATACCCTGAGTGCAGCCAGCAGGAGTGACTCAGCCCCCCAAAATCCCCGTGCCACAGCAGCTCAGTCGGGGGACAGATCCTGCAGGCTGGAGGAGCTTTAGTCCCTTTTATTCTGTGCATTGCACAAACTAAGCAATATTTGTGATCAGTAAAACACAGAACAGCTGCTGAAGGCCTGTAACCTGTCCCAGAATTTTGCTCCTGGCTCCTTCCCCTCTGCACTACTCTGCTGAGCTCAAGGTCTCTTGGCACGAGGACATGCGTGGCATTCACATTCTCTGAACAGAGAGAGACATAATTCTCTCTCTCAGGTTTTTTCCTGGAGAAGCACAGAGAGAAGAAGAGAAAACAATTCTTATCTCTATTCTCTGCTCTTGTTGTTTTTGCACATGTGGAATGTGTTATGGAGATTGTTTACCTGAAGGGATTTGTCAATTGGATTCTGATGAGGATTGTTTTGATTCTGGGTCAAAGCTGTGTCCTGGCTGTCTCAGACAGTCATGGGGTTTTCTTTAGTATTCTTTAGTATCTTTTTATAGTATAGTATTTCTTTAGTATAGTTATAATATAGTATTAATGTAATATAGCATAGCTTAATAAAGCAATTGTTCAGCATTCTGAATCACGGAGTCAGATGCCAATCACTCCCTGCATTTGATAGACATGTTTTATTTGACAAAACATTTCAACCTCCAATACAAAATATTATCACATCCATGTTGTTCCAGAGCTATCCCAGGAACTTAATTAATTAATCATGAGATAAAGCCTGTCTTATGAAACCTGAGCTGAATGAAACTCCTGCTGACTTGCTGTTCTCTTTGTGTGACAGTTTTACAGGTGCTTTGTGGCTCTCCTGAGGTGCAGCAAATCCCCCCAGAGCTCCTTGCCCAGGCTGAAAAAGCAACAACAAAACCCAGATTCTGAAGAGCTTCTGCCAAAGCCCAGCCAAGCCCAAAAGAGAGATCCAGAGCGTGGTGCTGTAGGAGGGCTCCAGGAAACAAGCTGCATGTGAGCAGAGGAGGCAAAAGGCTCTCCATCAGGGAATGGTCAGCCTGCACATGGTCCCTCTCTCCCTGTCTTGGATTGTGCTCCTCCAAAAAGTCTCATGTTGCTTTTCGACACAAACCTGAACAGACCATGATGAACTCAGCAGTTACAGGGTAAAGCTCTACTAAAATTTAAAGGGCACGTATTGGTTATGTTTCAAACTTTAGAAACTGCAGCTGAAGTTTAGGAAAATATATGTTTTAGGGACTTTTTAACTGTCAGCTTACAAAGTTAGTGTATTGTATTTAAGGGGTGCCCCGATGAAGGAAGGACTGATGACTCTGACTCCATGTTCTCAGAAGGCTAATTTATTATTCTATTATCCGATATTATATTAAAGAATACAATACTATACTAAAGAATGCAGAAAGGATACTTACTGAATGCTAAAAAGATAATAATGAAAACTCCTGACTCTCTCCAGAGTCCTGACACAGCCTGGCCCTGATTGGCCAAAGAGTGAAAACAACTCACAGCAGAATGCAATGGAACAATCACCTGTGGGTAAACAATCTCCAAACACATTCCATGCGAGCACAGCACAGGAGAAGCAAATGAGATAAGAATTGTTTTCCTTTTCTCTGAGGCTTCTCAGCTTCCCAGGAGAAAAATCCTGGGTGAAGGGATTTTTTCAGAGAATGTGACATTAGTGCACCAAAAGATAAACTCCTCCCAGCACTCGGGGAAGAAGCAGCTCTGAATGCCCAGCACTCAGCTGGGTGAAGCCCCTATCTCTGGGAATCTCTGGAAAATGCCAGCTTTTGAGCATTGGGAACACACCAGAGGGATTGCTGCCCTTTGGGCAGGTGGCTCTGAGGGATCTGTGGGCCAAGGGGCCAGGGCAGCCCTGGGCAGCAGTGGGAACAATTCTGCTTTCACCACAGCTGTCCCCCAGCAGGAAAACCAGGGGGGACCTTCTGCAGGATCTTCCTCCTGGGCATCTTTGAGAAGGGAGGGACAGGCGGTGCCTCCTACAAACAGAAAAGCCCCAGAAGTGCAGCGGGAGGAAGAATTGCAAACAAATGGGGAATAACCTTCTCCCTCATCAACTCTGAGCACAATCTCAATATTTTGACAATATTTTCATCCCAAACAGGAAGGAAAACATGAAATGGCACCATTCTGTGGAGAATTACTCCTCAAATCCCAAACTACACGGGAATGCCTTCTTTTTTTCACACAGAAGCAAATCCACAGCCCTGCCAACACAGCTGCCAAAAACTTGTACCACAGTGCTGTAATTACCATAATTAGCCAACACAGGGGTCTGGGGGAGTGAACCCACCATACATATCATTACCAGGGTACCTGTTCCAAAAGGATATTTTGATTTTTCAGATGATCAAAGCTGTCTTTTTCTTCCAGGGATGTGGGTTTATTTTTTCTTTGCAATATTAACAAAAGCTTCCATGTAGTCACAACATTATTTCACAACCTATTTCTTTTTTTATCCCTAAACCACAATTGTTCTAATAACCTAAATAACACCAAAAGTTTCAAAATACAGAAGCAGAAGCCACGAGTTGAGGTTTTTACTGAGGTTATATTTCTGGATGAAATCTAAGCAATAGATGCACTTACTGCTAAGCAATACTAATCAATTATTTATTCCCAAGCACATATTTTTAAAAAGTAGTTTGTTATTTTCAGATTAGAAAGCACGCCAGGAAATTTTCAGCTCATCTTTTCCCTTGATATTGTCTCTAGGTGGATTGTTCAATTCCAGTATGAATTTCCACATTAATAATAATATTGCAGCTCTGTGTCTGGTGGGTTTTGTGCATGCAAGGATTTGTTCTTAGAGCATACAAATCTGGTGTTGGTAGGTGTCTTGGAGGCTTTAAATAGTTCATGGTTTGTGATACAAATGTGTGTTTTCAGCACAAATTGTTGGTTTCTGTTCCATTAACCCTGTAACTTGCTGCAAACACCACCTGAGAGCAGCTTGTGACTGCCCTGTTTGGAAACATGCAGGATGTTGTAGCTGTAAATAAAAATATTCTCCTGTGGTACCTCCCCAGCCTCATCTCCTGAGCAGCTCACTACCACAGCCCTCACACAATTCCCACTTTTGGCACCAAAGGGACAGCAGCTGCATCTGATTTGTGCTGCCCCACAGCTCCTCTGGCCAATTTGCTGGATAATACCATCTAGGTGACACCAGTTTTATGAAAAACACACAGAAAAAGGCCATACACACACACCAGCACAAGCAAAACAACACCAAATTCCCCAGATTTCAATTTACACTTCCAAAGGGAGAGCAAAATTCTCCTCCTTGAGAAGGAGCTACAGCTCCCTTTTTTTTCAATGGGTGTACAGCTCTCTACTTTCTGAGCTTTATGAGCAGCTTGTAATTTCATTTCAGCAGGCAGGTTTGCTGCCATTAAAAGAGATGATAATTTTATAACCATTTATCTGGAGTTTTTTAAACAAAGCACTGTAGCTGTGTAACCAGCAGTATCACAGGGTATTCAGCAAGCAGTCAAGCCTTCCCTTACCTGTTTTTCAGCACCTTCAGTATACGAAAAATTAGCTAAATGAAGGAAATTCAGAAATTCAGCCCTTGCACTACTTTTTTTTTTTTTTTTTTTTTTTTTTTTTTTTTTTTTTTTTTTTTTTTTTTTTTTTTTTTTGTGATAAGGAGATGTCACCTCCCAGAGGCACAGACCCCCTTGTACAGATCAGAGCAAAAGCTTTCAAGAACTCTTTCACTCTTTCCTCTACTCTTTCCTCTTCTGTCTGGATTGTGGTGGTCCCATTCCAGGAAGAAATGAGGAAAAGTCTCTTCAGGCAACGGGAGTTTTCTCACCACTGCAGGAGAGTCTGAAACTTAATTTAAAGCAAATCAATTCTCAGTGACCCTCTGCCTCACCTGGAACTGAACATGAATACCAGCTCAGCTGCAAAAGGCCAAGGTCCCAGACCAGGAGCAGAACAAGCACAACTCCTGCGGGAGAAGGAGGAACACCCTCTGGAGCTGCAGGGAGCTAAATCCCAAGGAAGTTTGGGGTTAGTGGCCACGTGGGGACAGCCAGCACTCATTCTGGAGTTACCCTGCAGAGTTTCTGTCAGGTCTGGGGCCAGGACAACCCCCAGACAGGGAGGCAGCTGACACACATGTTATTTTTACATAGCACAGTACCAGGGGAGAACTAAACCTAGGGTGATTAACACTCACTGCAGTTGTTGTAGTGACTGAATTTGTCTTCTTCATAGGCTAGATGGCTTTTTCTCCCCTCAGTCTTAGAAAATATTGCCCAAAAAAGTGGGCAACACCAGTCACACTGCTGACAACTGAAATAACATCCAGCCCCCAGAAAATGTTTTGATATTTAATGGGTTTTCCCATCAAACTATGAGCAAATTCAATAACAGATGAACTAATTACACCAGAATGACAGCAGTACTGTCAACAGCCCACAAGCAACCCAAGTAGAGAGATTACACCAGGCAGCCCCTTTCCTTTACCTGATTCCTTGGTTTTCTTGTTTCCACTGAGCACCAGCAAGTCCTGCTGGTAGGGCCAGCTGAACTCGCAGTCTGTGAACAACTTTTGCAGAGCACCTTTCATTTCCCCCACAGGTTTTCTTGCAGAAGGCCTTTGAGCACCTTTTCTCAGCAGGAGAGGAGGCAGCATCCAGTTCTTCAGCTCTAGATCATCACACATGTGCTTGCATGCAGTTTCACTTTTGAATGTGTTCCTGGTTTAACTTTGCCAGAAGGCTGGAAGGCAGCACTCAGCTAAGTGGGAGCTCCTTCTCTTGCAAGAAGTGTAAGTTATCAGTTGTGATTTAAAGATAAAAACACTGTTTAGCAGCAGCGTTGGGACTGCCAGGGAAATCTGTCACTGAGGTAACAGAGATTGAGAGCTTTTCCAGGTCCTTCCATGAGATTTTCCAGGTAGAAGTGGAGCAGAGATTGTCTTCCAGGCAGCTCTTCATTACAAAGGTGGCATTAATTGTAATGTTGCAGTGTTTGCTCCTCAGCAGAGAGAGAGGCTGTTTCCAAGGAGGGAAAAAGGAAGGATGAGGCAAGTTTAGGCCAACAAATCCCCTTACTTAAAAGCTGCTTTTGCTTGAGAGAGAAAAACCACTCTGGAGAGCACTGGGGCCCTGGACCTGCCTGCACAGGGACACAGGGAAATTGGCTGGAGTTAACTTAGGGGTGTGGATTTAAAGTTAATTGGTTGAGCTGCATTAAGGTGCTTTGAGTTAGTGGTGCTTACTCTACTTTCAGATACAATTAATCTGAAGTACCTGATAGTAAAGCAACACTATTTGAAATCCAAGCCCACAGGAGGGTTTAACCAATTCAAACGGTCTGGTTATTTTAATTGTTAATTCAGGTCAACTTTCCACATCCTCACACAGCCCTCCAATGGGCAAACCCTGGGGTGTCAGCAGAGTCAGTCCCTGCTAATGCCACCAGCTGGCCCTGACCATGCACTCTTTAATCTGCAAGATGCACCACAGCTCTGTCATATCAAAGGCTGTCCAAAGGCACAAAAAGCTCCTGCCATCCCTTTCCAAGGTGAGCTCCACTGCAGTGGCTGGGTTTGGTCACTCAGAGAGGCAGGGTGCAGTCTAGAGGCAGGATTGCTGTGAGCAGAGAGCTCCTTCCCCCAGCTCTGCCCTGTGTGGGCACAGCACAGCCCCCCAGAGCATCCCAGGCTGGGCAGGAGCCTCCTGCACAGGGCTGCCCTGACACTGCACGTGCCCCAGACCACAGGGGGTTTTATGAGGCACTGATGCCTCAGGATTTCAGCTTTTCTGTTTTTCAGATCCTGCACTGCATTAGTGCATAACTCCACACTCATACACAGTGTTAGTTACTGCCTTCACATTTTGCTCAGACAGAACAAATCCTCTGGGCCTGAGATCCAGGGACACCCTACAGCCTCAGGCTCTGAAAAGTACAAACAAAAGTGAATTGGGAGGGAGCAAAGTGGGGGCAAATGACTTCATTAGCTGAAGCTGTAATTGGAGAATTAACCCCTGATATATGAGTGGACCAAACTTATAATTGCCTGAAAAACTGGTGCCCATTGTCCACCTTGGGTGCAGCCTCTGGGAGGCTCTGACTGCCCAAGGTGTGGCTGTGGAAGGCCTTTAATAAACACCCACTTTATTCTCTGAACCTTGTCTGGCCTCTGCTCTAGGCAGCCCCTCCAAGGCATCAGCATCTCCACTAATTTGCTGATGGCCACAGGACAGAGTGATCCAGCTGCACATGAGCCACAGCTAAAATCAAAGATGAAAACCAAGCCAAAGACCTTAACAAGCTCTTGTTACACCCCAGGCCAGCACATTTGCCGTGCCACGCTTTGTGCTGCTGACAGAACACATCCTCATGGTTTGCA